TCTTTCCCTCCATCTCTTCCCTCCCTGCCCCCAAGGTATCTAGTCCATCAAAATATAGCATCAAGCACCTTTGCTCGCTAGAGGTTTCAGCTCCACGTTTTTCTCCTGCATCTCAGTGTAGGTGACTTCTTGTTCAGCCGGTGTCTGGGGATCCCTTCCTTAGGGACCTGTTTCTCTTGCATCATGCCAGGAGACCAGGCAAGTACTGCATGGCTGCAGCCCCAGAGACCTCCTCGGGGTGAAACACGCTGGCCCAGAGCCGTGTCGCAGTGTGTGTAGCTTTGAGCATCTCTCCCTTCAAAAAATGTAGTGTTCCAAACACATGCATGTTTTCTCCATTATCGTGTGTTTCTACTCTCCGCCACATACATACATTTCTTGATCCCATGCATCCATCCTGCACTTGAAAGCAAACGACCTCTGTTCTCTGACTTCCATCCACTGGAAAGGTTGAGCTGGTTTGTAGCAGCGTCTGCACATTTTTTTCTTTGGGATGGCAGGGATTTTTAAAGGAAAATTCTTCCATCTTATAGCAGCTCTTATGATCTGTATAGCTGTCCATCTTCTGTGCACCCATAGGGACTGCCTCTTTCAGCCTGCCCTGGCAAGAAATTCCCAGTTCCATGTTTCTCCCCATGGAGGTGACTGGTCCTTCAGCATGTGGCGTGTTAGCCACGGCGGAGCAGGAGCCATCTCTGCAATGCTAATTCCATTCACTAGAGCACAGAGTTCTGGCCACAGCTGCAGCTGTTAATGAGGAAAAGAGTATAAAGAAAACCATTTTAGTCAGAAAATTTTCAAGCTTTTGGGAAAGACCTAGTCCCCTTGTTGTATTTTACTTCTCCTGTAGTGTCCCACCTCATCTGTTCAGCTCTGTTCTTGAGCTTTGACCGTGATTTATTCATGCATTCGCTTTCACGGGGTGATGGGTACTTTTCTTTGTCAGATGTGACAAGGTGAGACCATACCAGCTCCTGAATTCACCCACGGGTGGTTCAGTGGCCACGTGCAATGAACAGTGGGATAGGCTGTGAATTTCTCAGTCACTTGCTGGTGCAAAGGAACTTCTTAAACCTTTTGAATCTCGGGTATTCTTTCTCAACGCTCACTGTTCAGTCACCGGGTAAAGGGATGGCAGCATCTGTCTACACCACGGAACTGGGAATTCATGCTGGGAGGCCCTGGGTGTTATCAAGACTGCAGCTTGCGCACTCCGTCCCGAAGCTTTATGTCCTCGCTAAAGCTTTCTGAAAGGCCTGGGCACCAAAGACTTCATGGAGGATAAACTGTATTATCTTATCTCTGATACAACTTTGATAAATTACACCGAACAGCACATTTTTAATGCTGTCCTGGCTCTTTCCCACTCACATGAGACTCTGCGGTTTGTGCCGTTCCTGCCCATGTTCCAGATGTGTTCCCAGAGCACATGCACAAGGTTCTCCTGGGAAAAGTGTATGAATCTGATCCAGCATGTAATGGCAAGAAAACTAGTCTAGTTTAAAACCCTGTTTTCAGTTGCTTGGGGAGGTTTTCCTCGGTTCTGAACGCTGTCAGTGGGCATCGTAAGACCACGATGCTTAAGGGAGACATGGTGTCCCTTCCCTGCACTGCCATCAGGTCGCCTGTACCTGTCGTTCCTGGATGCAGGTTTGTGTAAACTCATCCTAAAGTCTTCACATGATGCAGACTTCCCCATCCGTAGTATTGGAAAGATTTTCCTTGTTTCTAACCTGAATCTTCTGCCCTGCAATTAAGCCCATTACTGCTCATCCTCTCCACCACAGAAATGGAGTACACTTTATTCCCCTCTTTTTCGCAACTTCCACGTAATAACCAGAGTTTCTCTTAGTTTCAAAAAAAAGTATTGGAGCAATTAGAAATGTCCCTGGAACTTCTGCATTTGGAAGCAGAGGGAACTGCAGCAGCAGCTTCTGACCTTTAGAGCCTGAGCTTACAGTTCGTTCATTCATTAATTCAGTGCTAATGTCAGACTTTCAAATGGATCCTAAAATCTTTTTTAGAACTTTGCCAATTTTTTTTTTTTTTAAATTATGATAGTAACATTTAAACTTTCACTTTTTCAGGCATCAACAAATTTACAAAGAAACTTCGAAGTCCATACGCAATTGATAACAATGAGCTACTTGACTTTCTGTCCAGAGTTCCTTCAGATGTGCAAGTGGTGTGTATATTTTTTAAGTATCCGTATGGTAGTCAATTTGATACGTGGCATCATGGCTTTCTGGGGTTTTTCAAAGTAGATTTTAAAGCAGTAATTTTGAATCAACCTTATATTCTTTGGCACAAAGAAATTGCAAACTCAAGCTGGGGGTAGTCCATGGACCTTAAGGAAGGTTGAAAGATGCAGGGAGCTGCACCGATGCGGAGCCAGCTCTATGGCCAGTTCTTGCTGTAGTCACAGTTCAACCGTGCTCACAAACTCCTTTAAAAATAAGCCAGTTATGAATTACAAGCTTTTGTAATGCGGTGCGCCACTTCTTGAGGAGGTGCAAGCATTAAGGTAATGTCAGGCACATAAATCACCTCTCGTATCACAAATATTCTATACTTTCCCTATTTCTAGGTAACGGTTTCAGTTCGGAGCTGGTGTAAATAGGAGGAATGGGTGCTCACACCCACTCTGAATCTGATCCCCTTTGCGGTGTGCCTTTGAAAATAAGCAAGTTTTTAAAGAAAAGTTGCAAAGAATATTCATCCCGTTCGTTAACAAGGGTTCTGTTTCCTCTCTCGTGGAGCTCACGGAGAAAACAAAAAAAGCAGCCTTCTTACAGCTGCCATCGGGGCACGCTCTGCAGCGTCCTGGCAGGATTCTCCCAACGCTGTTTTTCCCTCCTTACCCTGGATCTGTCATTCTGTTGCTGAATCACAGCTGCAGGTCCCATGTAGTTTGCAGGGCGATAGTTTTCTTTTTCTTTCCTTTTTTTCTTTTTTTTTTTGTTGCCCTGGGAAAAATTAGAAATCTTTCTGTTCTCCAGCAGGCGCCACCTGACCGGTTTCTTTCTGAACGTTGTGTTTAAACAGGTGCAATACCACGAACTGAAACAAGATCCCAGTCACAGCCCCAGCAAGAGGAAGAAAAACAACCCTGGCTAGACAGCCTTGCGTGCCGAGGCGGCTGGGGGCGGC